GCGGTGGGGTCAGGGCAGTGTATGGGGACACTGCTATGGCGGTGGGGTCAAGGCGGTGTGGGGGGAGACTGCTATGGCGGTGGGGTCAAGGCGGTGTGGGGAGAGACTGCTATGGTGGTGGGTTCAGGGCATCGAGTGGTGGATAGCGGTGTCACTGTAAATTTGTTTGAAAATCATGTCACTGTGTAATTGTAATCGACCGAGTTTTGTAATTGTAATTAATCGGGTCAAGTACATGTAAGTACTAGTTAATTCAGATAACTGAAATTAGTTAAATTAGGTAACTATAATCGGCGTTTAAGTGACTGTAAAAAAAGTAACTGTAATTGGGTGGGCAAAGTCTTTAGTCATTTGGCGGGCGGACAGATATGGGTCATTAGTCATTGGACGGGGAAACACCGTTGATCACTGGATGATCGAATATTGGTCGGGCGGGCGGACATTAGTAACTGAACGGACGTACTTTGGTCACTGGACAAGCAAACGTTGACCATGGGACGATGGTAACTAGGACGGTGACGACTAAAGCGATAGTAAATGGGACAATGGTCACTGATGCGGTAGTAGCTGGAACGGTGGTCATTGGTGCATTAGTAATTGAGATGGTGGTCACTGGTGCGGTAGTAACTGGGACGGTAATCACTAGAGCTGTAGTAACTGAGACGATGTCACTGAAGCGGTGTAACTGAGATGATAGACACTAGAGCGGTAGTAACTGAGACGTTGTCACTGAAGCGGTAATAGTAACTAAGACGATAGTCACTAGAGCGGTAGTATTAATTGAGAAGGTGATAACTGAAATAGTAATAATTGAGACATTAGTCACTGGCACGGTTGTCAAACAATTTTTCATATCCTAATATTTATATTTAGAAATAATATTAAAATATTAGAATAAAGAAAATATTAGAAAAACAAATATTAAAATAATACTCCGTATCATCATAGGCTTATCTTACAGATGCATTGAAAGAATAATAAATGAGAAAAAACGTTAATTAAGATAGGCTTGGGCAGCATCGGTAGTTTGGCACGGTGCTCAAAAATTTAGTAACGGTACGTTAGTAAAAGAATGTGCTTCTTACTCACATTTCTGGAAATTGAGAAAAAATGTCTCTTTTGTGTCCATTAACTATTTTTTGGTAATATTTGTGTCAAAACCCCTAATATAGAACATCATTTAGCTATTTTCAACTTCTCATTTATTTTTTATAAAAAAATGTGCAGTACTACGTATAGTTTTTCCTTAATTAAGCATATTAAGTCAATTATGTCTATTCAACCAAAATTTATTAATGTCAATATATTAAACTGATCCAGGCAATTTCAATGTCGCCAAAAAGGATCTTAATTTTGAATTATCATTGTAAAATTGAAAACTAAGGCAGTAGGTACTTTAAAAATAATTGGTTGAGTTAACTATTTTGACTTTTTTACATGATTATTTACCCTATTCAAGAAATGTATGCTCGATAAAGTTATTTAGCATTTCAACCATTTCACCTAAGATGGCAACTCATCATTACACTAATGACTCTTTCAAGAAATATATACCCGTTGTATCGTGCACACAGCAAGTTAGATACTCCCTCTGTCCATTTCGCTTATCGAGGGTCAACTTAAATCACTCTTAAACTCTTACTTTTTATATCAAAATTTTATAAAAGTTGAATTATTTTTTGCAGGCTTTGTAGCGGGTTTAATGTAGTTTCTGAATATGTAAATTTTATTTACTAAAAATAATCCGAGTTTTCACAGGGATCATTTAACTTTATCGTCGGTCAACCTTCGTAATCCGCAATTGGAACAACATTTAGGGACGGAGGGAGTATTTTATGTTAAAAATGAGTATATTATGAAAAGGGAATGAATATTAGTATTGAATTATAAAATTAGCACAATATTTTTTTGAAGATAATACAATGATAATATTGAATTATGCAAGAGTTTTTTCCACTTTTAGTCCTCCGACTATTATGTCATTGACATTTTTGGTACTCGACTTTTATTTTTTCCATTTTTAGTCCTTGACTATTGCGCTAGAGACACTTTTGGTACCCGTCTATGAAAATTTCCATATTTAGTCCTTCAACTTTCATAAAAGTGACACTTTTGGTCCTTCAACTATTATAATAGTGACTTTTTTAGTCCTCCACTTATTGTGTCAAAATCATAATGGGAGGACTTAAAGTGTCAATTTGACAATACTCAGGGACTAAATGTGGGAAACCTTGAAGTCGGGGACTAAAAGTGTCTCTGGCACAATAGTCAAGGACTAAAAATGGAACAAATAGAAGTCCAGTACCAAAAGTGTCATTGACATAATAGTCGAGGGACCAAAAATGGCAAAAACTCTATAGTTAAATGAATAAGTTGATTTGTAACATATAAGGTCAAATGCACAAATGGTACTGTAACTATTGATAATGTTGCATTTTGGTACCTTAAATCTTAAATGAATCAAAACGGTACCTTAACTATGCATAAATGTTTCGAATTATGATTTTCTTCAAATTTCCGGCAAAAAAATTCTTCACGATGGTCAAAATTCAATGTGTAGAATCATCTTATAGTGATCATATGGACAAAAATAAGGTGAAGTAGACTTTACTCATAGAATTTTGGCCGCCACGTGTGATTTTTTGGTCGAAAATTTGAATAAAATCTCAATTCGAAACATTTATGTATAGTTAAGGTACCATTTTGATTCATTTAAGAGTTAAGGTACGAAAATGCAACATTAGCAATAGTTGAGGTACCAATTATGCATTTGACCCGTAACATATATATTACGTGTAGATCATAATACTCAATTATATGCATCTAATACTTAATTGTGCTACCAATATAATAATTTAATATTAATACTCATTTCTTTTGTCCTATATACTCAATTCTTTTAACATACAATACTCAATTGTATCGTGTGCACGATACAGCCGTGTCGTGTGCACGATACAGTCGATAAAAATTGAATATGAGAAAAATTGATTCCATAAATGATGGAAGGGTAACTCAAGACTATATAAAAAAATCTTAAAAAGCAATTATTATTTGAATATGAGAAACTCAATGAGAAGTGAGAACCCGTAACAAGTTGAGGCATTGAGCAACCTACACGGCTGTGTCATCCATGCGCTTAATTGTTTAAGCAGTAGTATACCATGAGAAAGGGTAGCAATTTATACCAACTCCCAGTGAATGATTGAAGCACGCGGCTCGAATTTATGGATGAAACCCGAAAAAACCAATTTAATGTATGACATGACTCAGGTCATGGACCGACTTAAATATGGAGTATCAGAAAAAACACATTTTACACATAGTTACATGAGTGAATAAATGATTGACAAGAAACAAGAGGGGAAATAAAAGAAACAAGAGGGGAACTAGGTCCACTTGACACAAAATAGTGATTTTGTGATTCAGCTGTGTTTAGAAACGGATAAGTTTCAAGCTCAAATTTTGATAAGAAGTTATTATGTAAAAATACATATACAAGTCTGTGATTTAAAATCAATTTACATTCTCTCAACTATTGTCTGACCAGTGCTATAGGATCCTCATGAATGAAATGTCATCCTTTTTTTGTGATTAATCAAAGTAAACCGAAAGTAGATGATCATCCTCTCAACGTTTTAGTTGTATGGGAATTGGGAAGAGAGTATTTTTTTACAATGCCAACATCAATGTGACAATATTAATATCATAATTGAATATTTTCTACCTTATCAACCAAGCCATTTACTACTCTTATCAGAAAAATCACATTTTTTTAATTTAGGGCAATTTCAACAAATCCATTTGAGTTCAAATACATTTTGAAATTCAAAAAACGAATTTAATGGATGAAGTCATGAAACCCTAAAGAAGAATTTAATGGATGACACGACTCGGGCCATTGACCGACTCAAATATAAGGATGTTTTTATCTGGACTGTAATTTGATGATTTGGTCTGGTCTTATAAGGTCTGGTTTCTTTGTATTTTATAACTATCCAAGTGTGATTTGGTCTGGGACAAATTACAATTCAAGTAAAAACATCCTAAGAACACACATCTTACGTATAACTACATGAGTGAATAAATGAATGACAAGAAACAAGGGGGATTAGGCATAACTCAACTTGAGACAGAGAGTATCATAAGGGTAAGTTGATACGAATTTGAATCTTGTCAGCTTCGATTAGAGATCACTATGTACAAACTAAAAATGCACAAACCTTTTGCGTGTATTAGGATTATAGATCATTACCTGCTTTCAATCTATATCCTTCCAGATAATTATTCGACTGGTATTAGGGAACCCTCATGGATGGAGTGTCATTTTGTAATTGTAATTATTCGAATCAACCAAAAACTAGATGATCATCATTTGAAAATGTCTCTCAATATTATAAAAAGGGTAGGCAAGGGGTAGGTGTGATGTTGCATGTTGCAAAACATGTTGGTAGCCTTTAAGGTGTTAGGTATGATAAATATATGTCTAAAAGGGACGAAGTAGCTACATTCACTTCACTCCTAAAGATGTAGGGTAACAAATTCCGCAACAAAAAAGTTCATGTTCCCAAACTATGTTCCCATACAATTAAGGTACATTTGTACCATTTATGAAATTTACCTGTTATGGACCGTCCTTGTGTAATCACTATGTGTCCTACATCTTTGCAATCATGCAAAATCAAGGAATTGACCTAGCTCATGAGGGAGCAAGATAACCCAAAGGGGGTGTTTGGCAAGGAGCTATAAAAGTTTAAAAAGGGAATTTACTTCATTAAGTGCTCCACCACAAGCATGATTTCTCAAGGATAGAAAACACATTTGATGTTTTTTTTCAGATTTCAATCATGTTACCATTTCCATTCCTCCAACTTTAACAATCACAACTTAAAGTAGGACATTGTTGAAATCACAAAACTCCTAACTTCCATATTGCACCCAAAAAGCATGAAACTACCCAATAAATTGACAAACTATTTTCGAAAAATTGAACTAGTAGAGGTTTTGAAGATCAAATTGATATCATTAATCAGAAAATTATAATTATAACTGTAATTTTTCGAACTAATAGACAGAGATCAATACGTCAAAGTTTATACATTACCCAATTCATAACAATTATTAGAGGGGAATACTCCGTAACGTATCCGTCGTGGAAGGCCATCAGAGTCGGAAATGTCCAAAATGCCCGCCGACGAACACGATGATTTTCAAATTTTCAAGGACAAGATTGGGTGAACCGTCAAAGTGAGCAACTTTTCGGGTTTCTTACAAGAGTCCCAACAAAAAGAACAATTATAAAACGACCCCTACAATGCTAATTGTTTAGATTTCAGTCCCTCTACGAATCGTTCCCTTGTACCTGAGAATGGAGTCCATCCTCTGCAGCTCCAGCTGCTGCCGGAACTTGTTGATGAAATCGTCGGCTTTTGCGTCAACCTCTTCATCACCCACCGTCGTCAATTTCTCCCTCGTCGTCGCCGGCCGGCGAGCTTCCGTCTCCTCCTGCTCTTCCTCCTCAAAGCTCTTATAAGACTCCTTCATGCTGGGCGACTTTGTCATCTTCACCGGAGCCCTGTCAGGGATCTCCACCGCCGATGGCTTCGAGTCTGACTCGCTCTTGCTCATCTGCCGATCCGTTGACTCGCCGTAATTCCCGTACAATTCGTCCGGCTTGTCTTCGTCTTCGCGGGCTACCTGAAAATCAAAATGGGCCCGGATTTCCCCAGTTTTCTCATCATCAGTCAAATTCTGCTCAACATTTTCCTGACGCGGAGCGATTTGGGTCTCGTTTTCCTGAAGGTAATCCTGGCGGAAAATGTAATGGGTGGACTGGGTTTCTTGAGAGACCTGGTAATAATCGTGATGCATATGGAAATCAAGGAGATGCGGATTGAGAGCCGAATCGAGAATGGAAGGGATGTCAGAATCCGGGTTCGATTTGGGAACGGGTTCCTGAGATCTGAAAGTGGGTAAGTTGATGGATCTAAGACGCTGAAGAACAGAGGGGGATTTGGAAAGCTTGGGGGTCGTCTGGGGATGGGTCTGCGACGTTTGGTTGGCTATGGAGGAGGTCAAGGCTATGGTGGCGATGACAACATTGAGGATAACGAAGAAGACAGTGGGAGTGAGCCAGCTGTTCATGGCTGCCAAGATCGAAGAGGGCACCATGACGGAAACTGTCTCTGCAAACATTGGATGATTTTTTCCGGAGAGGGATGAAATTTGGGGTTGCAGAGAGAGGGATGGTGAGCGCAGAGAAAGGAGAGTGAGGTGAGGGGGAAGAGTTGGATTTAGAAAGCAGTGAGGAGGCACTGTTGCAGCAATGGTGGGGAATAGTGGAGTGGATGTGACAAAAAAAGTGAGCTGGTTTTGGATTTATCCGAGTAATAAACAAGAAGAGTATACGAATTGAATAAAAAAATTACCAATGCTTGGTAACTTATTGTTCACCTTATTAAATTGTTTGCTAAAGTAGAGTTTCAGGTATACAAAGTATAAAAATAAAAGTAATTTTTACTACAGAGAGCTTCCCAATTCCGTTTACCATATTTGACTGACGATAAAGTAATTTGATATTTATTTACACTCTGATTATTTTTGGTAAATAAAATTTAGGAAAAATTGACAAGAATAATCCTGCATTTCACTGATCTTCTCATAATAATCCCACTTTTACATAATTCAAGAATAATCTCACTTTTGCACCTCATCTTCTTTCATTGGACTCTAACCTATTGATGACCCACAAAGGTGGGATTATTTATATAAGATTTTGAAAAAAAGGATCCAATGAAAGAAGATGTGGTGCAAAGGTGAGATTATTCCAGGATTATGTAAAGGTGGGATTATTATGAGAAGACCAGTGAAAGGTGATATTATTTTTATCAATTTTTCATAAAATTTATATATTCAGAAACTACATTAAAAATTTTACAAAGTCTGATCAAGAAAATTTAAATTTGATAAAAATTTGATGCATAAAGCAAAAGATTAAGAATGATTTAAGTTGACCGTTTGGAACATTTAAATGGGACGAAGGTAGTATTTAATACTACATTCGTTCCTTTTTTATTGGGACGGAAGAAGGTGGCACAAGTTTTAAGAAAAGTGGTTTTGTGTGGTTGATATATTAATTAATTAAGTAAGAATAAAGTAAGAATGATTTTGAGCCACACAAACTTTACCAAATAAGGTATGAGACAATTAAATAGGGACATCCCAATATGGTAAAACGGGACATTAAAAAGGGGACGGGGGGAGTACTACCTCTATAACATTGAGATCTTCCCACTTTGAAAGTGGGTGAGATTATGAATAGTGAAACATGATACGATAGTATAAATTATTGAGGATATGATGGAAATATAATGAAATAGTGTAATGGAATGAATGATAAATTCAGAAAAATAGGTGTATGATGGGAATGTTTAGAAATGATAAGATTATTTAGTTACGGTTGAAAACGGAAAATGGAAAAATCTTTACGTTACGGAGGCAGTAGAAACTAGAAAGTAGTTAGGATAATAAATAATGTAGAAAAGGTAAAGCAAATAGTGGCAAAAAATGAAAAAGAAGATTAGGGCCCTTAAGGATGGTTTATGGTTATTTGACCAAACTTTGATTTTCCTACATAAATTTATGGATGGAGATCTCCATAGGTCAATACCACTAAATATGGCTGACTTTTGGGTTCAAGTTCACAACTTTGCTAGAGGGGTTCTTAACCTAACAAAATGAAGAGAAATTAAGAATTTTCTAGGCTATTTTGTTCGGTTTGATGGCTATAATTCGGGGGAAATAATTAAAATGTCTCAAACTTTGAAAGAGTGTGAAATGAACGCTCCAATCTTGCATATGTAATTTAAATACCAGAAACTTTATATAAAAAATTATTTTAGCATCATAGTAAAATATTATTTCTTTCAAAAATACAGATTTTTGGTGTTAATTGCATAATTTAAAATGTTTTAAAATTTATGAAGACTTAATTAACATTCTAATCTTCCATTAGGAAATAAATAATGTTACCCACAATCTATATAATTGCAACACTTTTAATCTTCTATTTTAAATTATGCAATTAGCCCCATATATACATTTTTGAAAGAAATAATACATGACAATGGTGCAAAAATAACTTTTTATGCAAGTTTGAGTTGTTTACCTCACACCCCTTCAAAGTTTGGAGTATCTTTATTAATTTTTCCCTATAATTCTGAGGAAGTTTGGAAATCTTTTATGAAGATTAAGATAAATTTAAATATTGGTAAACCCTTTCAAAGGGGATTAGAGTTGAAAAGGGAAGAATGAAAGTAGGTTTGGGTAGAGTTTTGATATGGAAAATTGTTAAATTTCTATTTTTAGTGTGATATAATTGATCATGCTATGCTATGATACTTTGCCCTAGTTTGATGGAGAGTTTGATGGAGTACTAATACCATAGAAGATTTATAAAGACCATATGGAAATGGCTTAGAGGTTCTGTGAGGTAAACAACACGTACGAGGTTAAAATAAGGGAGTGTTTGCAAATACTTTTGCTTAAAAAGCATTTTTTAAAATGATATTGGAACGATCATTGAAGAAAATGCTAGCAAGGAAATTGCATGTTATGCCAACTTTTCTGTCTTAATTATTACTCTGTATCAAGAATCTTTGTATCGATCACATTGTATTATAAATGTAACATTATTGTGCGGTATTTGAGTCTATGCGTTACTCTTCTCAAATGTCAAATAATTTTTTCATTTTAGTGATATATACTTTTGAATTCGAATATCCTTAATTGAAATTTCAGTTTCAGTTTTATTGATTCATAGTTACTTGAATTAGGAAATTGCGTGGTATAAATTATGTATTATTATTGTAAAATAATACGTCAACCAATTCAACGTTGGAGTTGAGTTAATTATGCACTATCATATCCTATCATATCTAGTGACAGAACGAGTGACAACGGAATGCATCGTTGGTAAATCTTCACAAACTCTCACCTATTTTCTCACGTGTTGGGGGAGTGAGTGAAATACTCACCCTCTAAATGTGGTGACAATGTATTTGGCACCAGGAATAAGGCACCATACACTTTTAGTGACTATGGTGGTGAGTAATCTATTTTGTCACTCCGTTTATTTAATTTTGAGTGACAAACTTGGTTACTAATCAACGATAATTTTGTAGTGCACGTAACTTTTGATTTTACGCGCGCTAAATCGTGTTATATGAAAATAATGTTGAAGTAATTTTATCGTTGAATTGACGGAAGTTACTATAGATGATCATTTAGCCAGACATTTAGCTTATATATTACTCTAATTTTGAGCATTTTTTACTATTTCCCAATTTTTACATGCATCCATCAATTTTCGACTTTTTCTCACCATAAAAAACTTTTTCTCACTATCTTCATAAGCTCTATGCACTACTCATCATTGTTTATACAACGTAGAGTCCTGATCCTGTCCAGACGTCCGGACAGGAACCGCCGTCCGGCCGGCGGCGTTTGGCCGCCTTCCCGGTGGAATTTTTTGATGAAATTTTTATGGCATGTTCTCCATCAAGTCTAGTTTATCCACAAAAAAATTCAGTCAAAAACTCAATCGGGAAGGTCGTCAAATGATTTTTGCAAGTTAACTGGTCCGGAAAATACATATTCCGGACCAGTTAACTTGCAAAAATCATTTGATGACCTTCCCGATTGAGTTTTTGGCTGAATTTTTTTGTGGATAAACTAGACTTGATGGAGAACATGCCATAAAAATTTCATCAAAAAATTCCACCGGGAAGGCGGCCAAACGCCGCCGGCCGGACGGCGGTTCCTGTCCGGACGTCCGGACAGGATCATTTGTGATACAACGTATATGTTTTCTTGATTGTGTTTTAAAAATCTATGGACATGTATCTATTTAATTAAAAGATGAGGGAGTGTTGATTGTTTTATACTGTTTTGTTTTTTTATTTATTTTCTTGGACTTGGGTATTTTGTGATTTTAATATTTCTTGCCCCATTGCCCCATTGGTGGACAAGTGTAAATGAGACCACGTGAGATGAGGAGCTTTACACATTTGTTTTACTTATCTTTTTCCCGAAATGAAGCTTTATAGTTCATACGTTTGTTGAGGGCACGTTTGTGACTTTTTATTTGTGCTTCTTTTATTTGTATCGGTCATAATTTTTGTCAAACTAGCTTATTTGATCATTTGATGGAGTCGGAAAATTGTCTAAATGATTGATAATGACAAAATGTTAAAGCATCTAAGCCTTAGTTTAAAAAAAAATTGAAGTCAGCTAACATACATGAAATCATAGCTAAACAAATACAAAGATAAGAAATTTAAAAAGATAAGAAAGATAAATATTAAATATGATAAAATTATTTATAAAAAGATAAAATAAAGGTCAGGTAAAGATAAAGATAGATAAAGAAGAAAATTATAAGATAAAAAGATAAAAAAAAATGCAGAGTAAGAGATAAAATGGATAAAAAGATATAGAAAGATCAAATATAAAGAAGATATGTAAAAGGATAAAAAGATAAAAAGAGACTAATCCTTTACACAAATATTATCTCTTCTTTCTACTTTTCCCAAAATCATACTCTCGTTCAACATAAGAATCTTTTAGTATTATTTTTGATAGATTCTATGGTACCTTAAAGGTACTATACATTTGTCCACATGGACCAATCAGAATGAGATAGTTGAATTATTTAAATCTAAATTAAAAATGATATACTGATTTGGACCAATCAAATCAATGATAAGTTGGTTTAATCCAAGAATCTGTTATATTTTCCTTCATTCATTACGTAATTAGATGTGCATGGAAATTAATTGATCGATACTCCGTGTTTACTTGTGAATATTTGATAGAATCACGTCGGCACCAACTTGTTTGAATTCTTGCACACTAAAAGTGTCGCACATATTTGACCAAAGTTACCATTTGAATGTAAAGAGATACCTTAGATAAGCATTAATCATTATGTATGTGTCAAAAAAGAGCACTTCATATCAGGCCGGTCTCACAAGACTCGTCATCCGACCAAGATCATTTAGGACCAGGGCCGTAGATGAGGGCGTGCAAGAAATGCTACCGCACAAGGCCTTTCGATTTCAGAAGGCCCAAAATTTTAAATATAGTCTATATATACTTCGTACTATGTATAATATACGATAGTAATAAATCTTTATTTATTTGATTAAAAATCCCTATCTTAGTACTTCTTTAAATACAATCATCAAATAGTAATATTATATGTAATTAAAATGCAATTGTTAATTACAATTGTGTAATTGTTTATTTCACAAGACCTAGTTACAGTAATTAGCACAAAGCCCTCGTACA